GATGTGAGGGTGGGAAGTCAGGGGCTGTGGGAGCAGGGAGTGCATAAATGGGAGGGTGGGTAGTCAGGGCTGTGGGAGCAGGGAGTGTATGGATGTGAGGGTGGGAAGTCAGGGGCTGTGGGAGCAGGGAGTGTATGGATGTGAGGGTGGGAAGTCAGGGCTGTGGGAGCAGGGAGTGCATAAATGGGAGGGTGGGTAGTCAGGGCTGTGGGAGCAGGGAGTGTATGGATGTGAGGGTGGGAAGTCAGGGGCTGTGGGAGCAGGGAGTACATGGATGTGAGGGTGGGTAGTCAGGGGCTGTGGGAGCAGGGAGTGTATGGATGTGAGGGTGGGAAGTCAGGGGCTGTGGGAGCAGGGAGTGTATGGATGTGAGGGTGGGAAGTCAGGGCTGTGGGAGCAGGGAGTGCATAAATGGGAGGGTGGGTAGTCAGGGCTGTGGGAGCAGGGAGTGTATGGATGTGAGGGTGGGTAGTCAGGGGCTGTGGTAGCAGGGAGTGCATAAATGGGAGGGTGGGTAGTCAGGGCTGTGGGAGCAGGGAGTGTATGGATATGAGGGTGGGTAGTCAGGGGCTGTGGGAGCAGGGAGTGTATGGATGTGAGGGTGGGTAGTCAGGGCTGTGGGAGCTGGGAGTGCATGGATGTGAGGGTGGGTAGTCAGGGGCTGTGGTAGCAGGTAGTGCATAAATGGGAGGGTGGGTGGTCAGGGGCTGTGGTAGCAGGTAGTGCATAAATGGGAGGGTGGGTAGTCAGGGCTGTGGGAGCAGGGAGTGTATGGATGTGAGGGTGGGTAGTCAGGGCTGTGGGAGCAGGGAGTGCATGGATGTGAGGGTGGGTAGTCAGGGCTGTGGGAGCAGGGAGTGCATGGATGTGAGGGTGGGTAGTCAGGGGCTGTGGTAGCAGGGAGTGCATGGATGTGAGGGTGGGTAGTCAGGGCTGTGGGAGCAGGTAGTGCATAAATGGGAGGGTGGGTAGTCAGGGCTGTGGGAGCAGGGAGTGCATAAATGGGAGGGTGGGTAGTCAGGGCTGTGGGAACAGGGAGTGCATAAATGGGAGGGTGGGTAGTCAGGGCTGTGGGAGCAGGGAGTGCATAAATGGGAGGGTGGGTAGTCAGGGCTGTGGGAACAGGGAGTGCATGGATGTGAGGGTGGGTAGTCAGGGCTGTGGGAGCAGGGAGTGTATGGATGTGAGGGTGGGAAGTCAGGGCTGTGGGAGCAGGGAGTGAATAAATGGGAGGGTGGGTAGTCAGGGCTGTGGGAGCAGGGAGTGTATGGATGTGAGGGTGGGTAGTCAGGGGCTGTGGTAGCAGGGAGTGCATAAATGGGAGGGTGGGTAGTCAGGGCTGTGGGAGCAGGGAGTGTATGGATATGAGGGTGGGTAGTCAGGGGCTGTGGGAGCAGGGAGTGTATGGATGTGAGGGTGGGTAGTCAGGGCTGTGGGAGCTGGGAGTGCATGGATGTGAGGGTGGGTAGTCAGGGGCTGTGGTAGCAGGTAGTGCATAAATGGGAGGGTGGGTGGTCAGGGGCTGTGGTAGCAGGTAGTGCATAAATGGGAGGGTGGGTAGTCAGGGCTGTGGGAGCAGGGAGTGTATGGATGTGAGGGTGGGTAGACAGGGGCTGTGGTAGCAGGTAGTGCATAAATGGGAGGGTGGGTGGTCAGGGGCTGTGGTAGCAGGTAGTGCATAAATGGGAGGGTGGGTAGTCAAGGCTGTGGGAGCAGGGAGTGCATAAATGGGAGGGTGGGTAGTCAGGGCTGTGGGAACAGGGAGTGCATAAATGGGAGGGTGGGTAGTCAGGGCTGTGGGAGCAGGGAGTGCATAAATGGGAGGGTGGGTAGTCAGGGCTGTGGGAGCAGGGAGTGCATGGATGTGAGGGTGGGTAGTCAGGGCTGTGGGAGCAGGGAGTGCATGGATGTGAGGGTGGGTAGTCAGGGCTGTGGGAGCAGGGAGTGCATGGATGTGAGGGTGGGTAGTCAGGGGCTGTGGTAGCAGGGAGTGCATGGATGTGAGGGTGGGTAGTCAGGGCTGTGGGAGCAGGTAGTGCATAAATGGGAGGGTGGGTAGTCAGGGCTGTGGGAGCAGGGAGTGCATAAATGGGAGGGTGGGTAGTCAGGGCTGTGGGAACAGGGAGTGCATAAATGGGAGGGTGGGTAGTCAGGGCTGTGGGAGCAGGGAGTGCATAAATGGGAGGGTGGGTAGTCAGGGCTGTGGGAGCAGGGAGTGCATGGATGTGAGGGTGGGTAGTCAGGGCTGTGGGAGCAGGTAGTGCATAAATGGGAGGGTGGGTAGTCAGGGCTGTGGGAGCAGGGAGTGCATAAATGGGAGGGTGGGTAGTCAGGGCTGTGGGAACAGGGAGTGCATAAATGGGAGGGTGGGTAGTCAGGGCTGTGGGAGCAGGGAGTGCATAAATGGGAGGGTGGGTAGTCAGGGCTGTGGGAACAGGGAGTGCATGGATGTGAGGGTGGGTAGTCAGGGGCTGTGGTAGCAGGGAGTGCATGGATGTGAGGGTGGGTAGTTAGGGCTGTGGGAGCAGGTAGTGCATAAATGGGAGGGTGGGTAGTCAGGGCTGTGGGAGCAGGGAGTGCATAAATGGGAGGGTGGGTAGTCAGGGCTGTGGGAACAGGGAGTGTATGGATGTGAGGGTGGGTAGTCAGGGCTGTGGGAGCAGGTAGTGCATAAATGGGAGGGTGGGTAGTCAGGGCTGTGGGAACAGGGAGTGTATGGATGTGAGGGTGGGTAGTCAGGGGCTGTGGTAGCAGGTAGTGCATAAATGGGAGGGTGGGTAGTCAGGGCTGTGGGAACAGGGAGTGTATGGATGTGAGGGTGGGTAGTCAGGGCTGTGGGAGCAGGTAGTGCATAAATGGGAGGGTGGGTAGTCAGGGCTGTGGGAACAGGGAGTGTATGGATGTGAGGGTGGGTAGTCAGGGCTGTGGGAGCAGGTAGTGCATAAATGGGAGTGTGGGTGGTCAGGGGCGGTGGTAGCAGGTAGTGCATAAATGGGAGGGTGGGTAGTCAGGGCTGTGGGAGCAGGGAGTGTATGGATGTGAGGGTGGGAAGTCAGGGGCTGTGGGAGCAGGGAGTGCATAAATGGGAGGGTGGGTAGTCAGGGCTGTGGGAGCAGGGAGTGCATGGATGTGAGGGTGGGTAGTCAGGGGCTGTGGTAGCAGGGAGTGCATGGATGTGAGGGTGGGTAGTCAGGGCTGTGGGAGCAGGGAGTGTATGGATGTGAGGGTGGGTAGTCAGGGGCTGTGGTAGCAGGTAGTGCATAAATGGGAGGGTGGGTAGTCAGGGCTGTGGGAGCAGGGAGTGTATGGATGTGAGGGTGGGTAGTCAGGGGCTGTGGTAGCAGGTAGTGCATAAATGGGAGGGTGGGTAGTCAGGGGCTGTGGGAGCAGGGAGTGTACGGATGTGAGGGTGGGTAGTCAGGGCTGTGGGAGCAGGTAGTGCATAAATGGGAGGGTGGGTGGTCAGGGCTGTGGGAGCAGGTAGTGCATAAATGGGAGGGTGGGTAGTCAGAGGCTGTGGTAGCAGGTAGTGCATAAATGGGAGGGTGGGTAGTCAGGGCTGTGGGAGCAGGGAGTGTATGGATGTGAGGGTGGGTAGTCAGGGCTGTGGGAGCAGGTAGTGCATAAATGGGAGGGTGGGTAGTCAGGGCTGTGGGAGCAGGGAGTGTATGGATGTGAGGGTGGGTAGTCAGGGCTGTGGGAGCAGGGACTGCATAGATCAGAGGGTGGGTAGTTGCGGGCTGTAAGAGCAGGGATTGCATGGATGGGCAGCCCTGATGTTGCTCTGAAGGTGGGTAGTCAGGGGCTGTGGAATAAAGTGGGCATGGATTTGAGGGTGGGTCATCAGGGGCTGTGGGAACAGAGAGTGCATGGATGGGAGGGTGGGTAGTCAGGGGCTATAGGAGCAGGGAGTGCACAGATGTGAGGGTGGATAGTTAGGGGCTGTGGGAGGAGAGAGTGCATAAATGGGTGGGTGGGTAGTCAGGGGCTGTAGAGGCAGGGAGTGCATAGATGGGAGGGTGGGTAGTAAGCAGTTGTGAGAGCAGGGAGAGCATGGATGGGAGAATGGGTAGTCAGGGGCTGCAGAAGCAGGGAGTTCATGGATGTGAGGGTGGGTAGTCAGGGGCTGTAGGACCAGGAAGTGTATGAATGGGAGGGTAGGTACTCAGGGGCTGCAGAAGCAGCGAGTGCATGGATGTGAGGGTGGGTAGTCAGGGGATGTGGGAGCAGGGAGTGCATGGATGTGAGGGTCGGTTGTCAGAAGCTGTGGGGGCACAGAGTGCATGGATGGGCAGCTGTCATACTGCTCTGAGCGTGGGTAGTCAGAAGCTGTGGGAGGGGGGAAGGCATGGATGTGAGCGTGGATAGTCAGGGGCTGTGGAAGAAGGAGTGCATAGATGGGAGGGTGGGTAGTCAGGGGCTGTGGGAGCAGAGAGTGCATAGATGTGAGGGTGGGTACTTGGGCTTTGGGAGCAGGGAGTGTGTCGATGGGAAACAGGGTAGTCAGGGGCTGTGGGAACAAGGAGTGCACGGATAGGCAGCTCTCATGCTGCTGTGAGGGTGGGTAGTCAGGGGCTGTGGGAGCAGGGAATGCTTGGATATGACTGTGGGTAGTCAGAGGCAGTGAAAGAAGGGAGTGCATAGATGGGAGGGTGGGTAGTCACGGGCTGTGGGAGCAGGGAGTGCATGGATGGGAGGGTGGGTAGTCAGGGACTGTGGGAGCAGTGAGTGCATAGATGTGAGCGGGGGTAGTTAGGGGCTGTGGGAGGACCAAGTGCAGGGAAGGGAGGGTGGGTAGTCAGGGGCTGTGGGAGCAGGGAGTGTATGGATGTGAGGGTGGGAAGTCAGGGGCTGTGGAAGCAGGGAGTACATGGACGTGAGAGTGGATAGTCAGGGGCAGTGGGGCACAGGAAGCGCATGGATGAAGGGCTGTCATGATCCTCTGAGGGTGGTAGTCAGGGGCTGAGAGGCCGAGGGAATGCATGAATGGCAAGGTGGGTAGTCAGGGGCTGTGGGAGCAGGCAATGCATGGATGGGCAGCTCTCATACTACTCTAAGGGGGGGTAGTAAGGTGCTGTGGGAGCAGGAAATGAATGGATGGGAGAATGGGTAGTCAGGGGCTGTGGAAGCATGGAGTGTATGGATGGGATGGTGGGTAGCCAGAACCTGTGGGAGTAGGAAGTATATGTATATGAGGGGGGATGGTCAGGGGCTGTGGGAGGAGAAAGTACATGGATGTGAGGGTGGGTGGTCAGGGGCTGTGGGAGCAGAAAGCGCATGGATGTGAGTGAGGGTGGTTATTCAGGGGCTGTGGGAGCAGGGAGTGCATGGATGTGAGGGTGGGTAGCCAGGGGCTGTGGGAGCAGGGAGTGTATGGATGGAAATGTGGGTAGTCAGGGCTGAGGGAGCAGGGACTGCATGGATGGGCAGCCCTGATGTTGTTGCTCTGAGGGTGGGTAGTCAGGGGCTGTGGGAACAGGGAGTGCATGGATGTGAGGGTGGGTAGTCAGGGGATGTAGTAGCCCGGAGTGCATGGATGTGAGGGTGGATAGTCAGGGGCTGTGGGAGGAGAGAGGGCATGAATGGGAGAGTGGGAGTCAGGGGCTGCAGAGGCAGGGAGTGCATGGATGGGCAGCTTTCATGCTGCTCTCAGGGTGGGTAGTCAGGGGCTGTGGGAGCAGGTAGTGCGTGGATGGGAGGGTGGGTAGTCAGTGGCTGTGGGACCAGGAAGTGTATGAATGGGAGGGTAGGTACTCAGGGGCCGTGAAAGCAGGGAGTGCATGGATGTGAGGGTGGGTGGTCAGGAGCTGTGGGACCAGGAAGTGTATGAATGGGAGGGTAGGTACTCAGGGGCCGTGAAAGCAGGGAGTGCATGGATGTGAGGGTGGGTAGTCAGGGGCTGTTGGAGCAGGGAGTGCATGGATGTGAGGGTGGGTAGTCAGGGGCTGTTGGAGCAGGGAGTGCATGGATGTGAGGGTGCTTAGTCAGGGGCTGTGGGAGCAGGGAGGGCAGAAATGGTAGGGTGGGTAGTTAGAGGCTGTGGGAGCAGGCAGTGCATGGTCGGGAGGGTGGGTAGTCAGGAGCTGTGCAAGCAGGAAGAGCGTGGATGTGACGTTGGGAAGTCAGGGTAGTCCGGGCGGGCGCGGACCCTTCCACCGCCGGCGGGGAGCACCCGCTCCACCGGCCGGGGATCCCCGGGGCGCGGCGATGGTCCCTCCTGACGCGGGCGCAACGTCGCCGGGGCGTCCCGGACCCTAGGCCGCGCACGGTCGCCGGAGCCCGGCACTCGCGCCCCGATCTCGGCCCTCCAGGCGGCCGGGGACCTTGAGGGAAAAGGCCAGCTCCCTCCTACTCACCGACCGCAAGGCTCGGCGACTCCAAACCCCTCTGCAACCGCTTCCTCCAGCCGTTGCCGCCGCCGCGGGCCCGGGCTGGGTCAGGACTTGCGCGCGCCCGCCGTTGTCTACGCCGCCCAACGTGACCCCGCCCCCACCGTCCCGCACGCTGCCGCCGGGCGCGCGAGCCGCCAGGGCGAGGACCTAGGGAGAGGCGAGTGCCCCAGTCCGCCGGGTGGGCGCGCCCGGGACGCGCGGAGTCGCCCTCTGGCGGGCGAGGGGCGGCTGCCTGGGGAGGGGCGGGGCGGGGCGGGAGAGACCGAGCCCTGGTCACCCCTGGGCTGACGCGTCCCTCTCCGGTAAGGGGAGCCCTTCCCCGCCTCAGGGCGGGAGACCGGCTCCCTCCCGGGCCAGAGGTTCGCACGTGTGTTCCGGAGAAGGTGAAGTCAGCCCGGCACCGCGGGAGGAGGCTAGATCACTAAATCACCTGGTCCTCTTGGGGCTGCTGTCGGTGAGCGGCGACATTCTGCCCGTAGAGGACTCGGCTTGGCCTGGCACGCTCAAGATCTGTTAGCTGCCGGTACCACCACCACCGTTACCACGACCGCCGTCACACCAGCAGCATCCGTGAGTCTCGCCTACTTTGCTTGTCAAGCAGAGGGCTTACGGCGTGAGTGTAGTCCGCCTTCGCCCTCCCTCGCAGCTGCAACTTTCCAACTTGTACCTCCACGTGGACCTGCTCTCTCTACTCAAGTCTAGCTGGTGCCTGCTGGAGTTTGCACGTGTGTTTCTTTTACCGCATTTCTTTTGACTTCAGACGCCTAACCCAAGCTTATTATCTCCCCTAAAATTGGACCGCCTTAAAATATATATTACCTTTCTTTTTCCTGTTCTTTTTTTTTTTCTGAGAAGAGTTTTCGCTGTTGTTACCCAGGCTGGAGTGCAATGGCAGGATCTCGGCTCGCCGCAACCTCCGCCTTTTGGGTTCAAGCAATTCTTCTGCCTCAGCCTCCCGAGTAGCTGGGACTACAGGTGCGCACCACCATGCCCAGCTAATTTTTTTGTATTTTTAGTAGAGACGGTGTTTCACCATGTTGACCAGGTGAAACCTCGATCTCTTGACCTCGTGATCCACCGGCCTCCGCCTCCCAAAGTGCTGGGATTAGAGGCGTGAGCCACCGCGCCCGGCCCGACTTCCTGTTCTTAAAAGACTGTTTGTGGCCGGCGCGGTGGCTCTGGCCTCTTAGCCCAACACTTTGGGAGGCTAAGGCGGACGGATTTTTGTATAATACTTTTATGAGATGCTTTTTTTTTTAAGATTAAAGCCAAGATAAATTATTGTCTCATCTTCATCACCTATGGATGCTAGTGTCTTTAAGGGAAGGTAAAGAATGTTTTGTTAGTTAGAAGTAAATATTGACGTTTTAATGGTGGTGATAGTGAGTTTTGTGGTACCAGCTGTTTTGTATTGCATCCGGCAAGGTACAGGTTTTCATGTTCAGGTTTTGTTGGGATGAGACCTTTTGATCCCAAGGTCAGGTGGATGGGATTTTTGGATTTGTATTTGCTCCTTGAGTCTCGGGGCAGTGTCTCCACGCGGGGTTTCCTGTTGAGGGGCATCACATGCAATAGTGTGAAGTAGGTACAAGGGGCAGTCATTGTATTCTATAGTATTTTGTAGTCTCCATTTCTCAGCTGTATCCTCATTCGGTTTTCTTCTCAGAAGTGTTTTTACTGGACTCATGACTTGGAGGCCGGACCTTAAATCCAGAGATGGCAACCTGGATAGGGACTTAAAAGGATCCACAAAAACTTGTGACACACTTGGTGCCTAGGCCCTGTTCCCAATAACCCCTTCTAGGGCCGTTTATCTAACATTTTGGTGCCTTCTTTCCCCTCCCTAATTTGTAGACGATCCGACCTTTTATTCCTTGGAGGATTTGCTTTGGGGATAAAATTTTGGTGCTCAGGCACAGGGACATTCACTTTTAATGAAAGAACCCTTGGGCATGACTCCAATCCCAGAATTGCTCACTGAGCGCTATGCCACCTAAGCATTGACCTGAACATATTAGTGCACTCCAGTCCAGATTGGACCACTGATCCTACGTGGAAGGGCTGTGTTTTTAAAAAATATATATATATATCTGGTAAGCAGTAGTGTGTGAAATTGCTTTTTGTATACCGATCTATGCATGTTTTGTGCATGAGTAGTACTTGTGTTGCTATTCCTGTTGATGTTAAGTTACTGTATAATATAAACAGTATGTGCTTTTCTATATCAGCGTGTAAATTTAATATAACACATATGCAGTAATAAACGTTTTACTGAAGAAAAAAAAAAGAGGTTAGTTGCTGTGTTATTTGGGTAGGTACTCGTGCCTGGCATATCTTCATTGTAAATTGTAGCCTTTAACATTTTAAAGTAGACAATTTTTATTTGTCTGTTATCGTGTTGCTGTTCTGCAAGTTTTTTGAAACTAAATTCTACCTTGCGTTATATCAGAATCTCTTGTTTCTGTTCTCTGGAAATATATTTACTCATCTCTATTTTCAGCCTTTCTGAATCACATTGTTTCAGGTATGCTTCTTCTATATGGCACCAAATTGATTTTTGTGTTGTGAGCCAGTACAATTTTTTTTTTTTTTTTTTAGACAAAGTCTATTTCTGTCACCAAGGCTGGAGTGCAGTGGCCCAGTCTTGTATTTTTAGTAGATACGGGGTTTCACCATGTTGATCAGGATGGTCTCGATCTCTTGACCTCGTGATCCACCTGCCTCGGCCTCCCAAAGTGCTGGGATTACAGGCGTGAGCCACTACGCCCTGCCAGCAGTGAGGTTTTTAACAATATTTTATGAAAGCTTTTTAATGTAAAAGTACTATGGAGATGTTAATTATATTAGAAAACAAGCAGATAATCTCTGGAGAGAAACATCTTCAAACAAGAATAACTTGATTGTTGTAGTGATTTGCAATAAGTAAAGTAGGAAACAAATGCCCATTTTCAACTGTCAAGTTCATGAGGAAAAAAAAGGTCTATTTTGTTAATGTCTGTGTTATTCTCGCCTAGAATAGTGCCAGATACAAAGTAATGAATTAATAGTATTTTTAACTCAATGAGACTGTTATGCTTATTAATTCAACAAATACTACAAACATAATATGAAACAATGTACATGTTAAATTATTACAATTAGTAAAGACTAAAAATCAAAAGAACATTCAACCTAAAATTACTAGATTTTTCAAAATAACTGAACGTAATTTCCAAAAGTGGAAAACGTAGTCTGAAAATATAAAAGTCAGGAATTAAGAGTAGAACAGAGAACTGAAGAGACAAAATGCAACATATGAAAGACTGAGAGAAAAGGTAAGAATTAGAAGCTTAAGCAGAGAGAAATTGGCATTCCTGAAATGGGGGGAAGAGAAGAGGAAATGGTAAAAATATTTTAACTGAGAAATGACTTTAAAGAGTTGAGTCTTCATAACAGGTGTCCCAAATCCAAAGCAGAGTTTATTTGTTGAAGTTCTAACCCCTGGTACCTCAGAATATAAGTATATTTGGAGGCCGAGTCTATAAAGGGGCAATAAAATTAAAATGAGCTTACTAGAATAGAATGGATTCTAATACCGTATGACTGGTGTCCTTGTAAGAACAAGGAATCTGAGCATAGACGCATGTGGACATGAAAACACCAGGAGATCTCAAAACAGAATTCCATGAAGACTTGATTTTCCATCCTTTCTTGATTCAAAACTTTTAACAGTTTGGAAGGAAGATATCTGAATACAATTAAGGCCAGTTTTGAAAAACTCATAGTTAACATCACAGCTAGTGGAAAGGAACGAAAAGCTGTTTCTTTAAGATGTGGTGCAAGACAAGAACTCCCACTCTCAACATAGTACTGAGAGTACTAATTATCAAGGGCAGAGAAAAAGATATAAACGGTATCCAAAACCAGAAGGAAGTAAAATTATCTTTGTTAGCACCTGACATGATCCTATATATAGAAAACCCCAGACTCCACCAAAAAACTGTGAGATCAAAAAGATGAATTCAATGAAGTTGCAGGATGAAAAATCAACATAAACATTTCAAAATGAACAAATGAAGTATATAAATTATTCTATTCATTATTTTTATTGTGAAATTTAGAGTTATAATGTCAAATGCCATTAAGATAAATCAGCATTCTTATTTTTTCTCTTTTTATTTTATGAATGTGTTTTAGAATGTGATTATCATTAATGTAAAATGATATATATCCTTTCTAACATTTTTCTCATTTTCTTTGTATTTTCAATGTACTCTCCTGCCAGGTATCCTACAAAATTGTAATTGAAGGGAAACCATATACTGTGAATTTAATGCAAAAGTAGGTCATCATCATTATTTTATCAATTCTCTTTGTGTCAGTTTTAGAATTCATAGCTGCAATATTTTTATACATCATAAATTTCAGAAAATGTTTTCTATTTGTAAGATAGATGGTACTAGTTTGAGGAAATAACATTAAAATAAGATTCAAAATTACCCTGCTTTTATGCAAATGCCTAAAGTGAAATCATTGGATGTTGTTGTTTCCATCTTAGTGAACTGTAGCACATAACAGGAAACAGGAGAAAAAGAGAAAGATGTGTAAAGATGCATTTATTGTTTGATTAATAAGCCCTTCCTACAATATCTTGAAAACAAGATGGTTTAAAATAACTGCACCAGTATTAATACAGTATTTAACCACTTTAAATTTGGCTGAATTCTTCATTTTATTCCCAGTAGAATCATTCTTTCACCTTCTTCTTTTTCCCTGACTTCTTCTGATACTTTTCCTTCTTTTCCTTTTTCTCCTCCTCCATGTCGTCCTCCTTCTTTCTAACACTGTCCCTCTGAAAGCGGATGGTACATTCAAGTTCAGAAATTTGACAAATGGAGTTTTGATACATGTGCATGCAAAATGTAGAGCCTCTGCTTTGCAGTACCTTCACAAAAGTAATAAAGAACTTTAATTGGTACCAAGTGTTGACAGAGGGAAGGGAGTCATTTTATCAGAGTCACAGAGAGAAGGTAGACCTCCCTTCAAAGATTCAAAGAGACGTAAGCACCCTTGCAACAAGGTAATAAATATTTCGCTTTCATTCACATCTCGTTCTCCTCTCTCCATTAGAATAACTCAAGGTAAAAGTCAAGGGCAAAGCATCCCACTCACATAATCCATTTGTGTCATCTACCTGGGCTAGACAGCATGGTAGAAAATGATGGAAAATTGACTTAGAGAAGCAAACAGAAGAAACTAAAATGTATACCTAGAAGCCTATCATGAAGTATATTCATCAAAATGTTATTAGATATATTTAAAGGATTTGTGGATTTTTCTCAAAATTCATGTCATAGTATGATAAAATGCACTATAGTAAGCATCTTACAAAGATATTTTAGTTTTCCCAATAAAATTTAAACAATGGAAAAGTCAGAATTCTTATTATCAGTCATTATTACCATAATATTAATTAATGCAATGGTTTAACTTATGAATTACATGTATGAAATGTCTATATAAAATATGATCTTTAAGGAATCAATTTTTAAAAATTTTTAATTATTATGAGTACACAATAGTTACATGTATTTATTGGAGAGATGTGATGTTTTGGTACAGGCATACAATGTGTAATGATTAAATTAGGATAATTGGAATATCCATCACCTCAAGCCTTTATCACTTCTTTGTGTTAGGAACATTCCAATTCCACTCTTAGTTATTTTAACATATACTGTAAGTGTTGTTAACCAATGTAACACTATTGTCCTAGAAATCCTAGACCTTATTCTATTTAATTGTGCTCATTAAACCATCTCCCCTTTATCCCCCACTTTCGACCACTCTTCCCAACCTCGGGTAGTGACCAAATTACAAATTAAAATAATCTCTTCATAATTTGACACTATGTTTTTCCATGAGTTTTTCTTTAAATATTATCTTTTGTGAATACAAATAAGACTGCAATGGTTTTTATATGGAGTTAATAAATTCCTGGAGCAATTTTTTTTCTTTGTCTGAGGCCATCAAATGGGTCATCCATTTAACACATTGGTAAAACTTTAGATTTTACTTTTCATAGTTTTCTTGTATTTATAATGAGTTATGCCAACATGGATGGCACATCTGGGGATAGCCTATTAGAGCGCCTATTCCATTTTATCATGTGACTCTTTAATAATTGCATTGTTCTCCCAGTAAACAAAATAATGTACATTTATTTATTTTTTCTCAGCATCCCACAACCATAAGTCTAGAATCACTTGCAGTTATTTTAGCACAATTATTGAGCCTCAGTATGGGGATCACTTACGATGACATTCACAAATGCCAGCGCTCAGGAGGTGTCTGTATTATGAATCCAGAAGCAGTGTAAGATTTCTGAATTTTATACTTTACATATGTAGTTTAATGTAATTTTAATGTATTTCGTTTAAGAAAGTTTAAGTTGTTAAATAATAATGGTTGACTATCAGAGGTGACCAGGGACTCCAGGACCAAAATGTATATTCTAATGCCCATGATGTATATTTATCTCAATATCACTTGTAATCAACTGTTACACTGGCTTTCTCTCATGTAATCTAACATTACATCTATCAATATGTTTATTGTATAATTTTATAATTTGATGCATGATTTGATAAGCCAAATGCAAGCATGAGATCACTACACAGAGAGTGTTTATTAGTATGAACTTGTCTGCATGACTCTCCTTGACCCTGCCTTGGCTCAGCCTGAAGTCTCAGCATCTGTAGATTTCAGAGATGTTGCCATTGAGCTTTTTCTTTGTCATGAGAGAAACTCTTTTGCAGTATTCTAATCAGGCATTAGTGATCTAATGATTTTATTTTTTTGCTGATACCAACATTATTCTTCACATGTACCCCAAAACCTAAAATGAAACAATATATATTGTTTCATTTTAGGTTTTGGGGTACATGTGAAGAACATGCAAGATTGTTGCATAGGTACATACATGGCAATGTGGTTTGCTGCCTTCCAACCCATCACCTATATCTGACATCTCTCCCCGTGTTATCCCTCCCCACACTCTCCACCTCCTGCTGCCCCTCCCCAGTTCCCCCCCATAGAACCCAGTGTGTGATGCTCCCTCCCTGTGTCCATGTGTTCTCATTGTTCAACACCTGCCTAAGAGTGAGAACATGCGGTGTTTGATTTTCTGTTCTTGGGTCAGTTTGCTGAGAATGATGGTTTCCAGGTTCATTCATATCCCTATAAAGTACAGGAATGCATCATTTTTTATGCCTGCGTAGTATTCCATGGTGTATACATGCCACAGTTTCCCTGTCCAGTCTATCATCGATGGCCGTTTGGGTTGGTTCCAGGTCTTTGCTATTGTAAACAGTGCTTCAGTGAACAGTGATGTGCATGTGTCCTTATAACAGAACGATTTATAATCCTTTGGATATATACCCAGGAATGGGATTGCTGGGTCAAATGGAATTTCTATTTCTAGGTCCTTGAGGAATCTCCACACTGTCTTCCACAATGGTTGAACTAATTTACACGCCCACCAACAGTGTAAAAGTGTTCCTATTTCTCCACATCCTCTCCAGCATCTGTTGTCTCCAGATTTTCAAATGATCGCCATTCGAACTGGCATGAGATGGTATTTCATTTTAGTTTTGATTTGCATTTCTCTAATAACCAGTGATGATGAGCATTTTTTCATATGTTTTTTTGGCCTCATATATATCTTCTTTTGTAAAGTGTCTGTTCATTTCCTTTGCCCACTTTTGAATGGGCTTGTTTTTTTCTTGTATATCTGTTGTAGTTCTTTGTAGGTTCTGGATATTAGCCCTTTGTCAGATGGTTAGATTGCAAAAATTTTTTCCCATTCTGTTGGTTGCCAGTTCACTCTAATGATTGCTTCTTTTGCTGTGCAGAAAATCTGGAGTTCAATTAGGTCCAACTTGTCTATTTTGGCTTTCGTTGCCAATGCTTTTGGTGTTTTGGTCATGAAGTCCTTGCCTACTCCTATGTCCTGAATGGTTTTGCCTCGATTTTCTTCTAGGGTTTTTATGGTATTAGGTCTTATGTTTAAGTCTTTAATCCATCTGGAGTTAATTTTAGTGTAAGGTGCCAGGAAGGGGTCCAGTTTCTGCATTCTTGACATTGCTAGCCAGTTTTCCCAACATCATTTATTAAACAGGAATCCTTTCCCCATTGCTTGTTTTGTCAGGTTTGTCAAAGATCAGATGGTTGTAGATGTTTGGTGTTGCCTCCGAGGCCTCCGTTCTGTTCCATTGGTGTATATCTGTGTTTTGGTACTAGTACCATGCTGTTTTGATTACTGTAGCCTTGTTGTATAGTTTGAAGTCAGGTAGTGTGATGCCTCCAACCTTGTTCTTTTTGCTTAGAATTGACTTGGCTGTGTGGGCTGTTTTTTGGTTCCACATGGAGTTTAAGGTGGTGTTTCCAGTTCTGTGAAGAGGGTCATTGGTAGCTTGATGGGGATAGCATTGAATCTATAAATTACTTTGGGCAGTATGACCATTTTCACAAAACGGATTCTTCCTGACCATGGGCATGGAATGTTTCTCCATCTGTTTGTGTCCTCTCTTATTTCCTAGGCCATTAAGAACTTGCTTTATGTATCTGGGTGCTCCTGTCTTGGGTGTGTATATATTTAGGATCTTTAGCTCTTCTTGTAGCATTGATCCTTTTACCATTATGTAATGTTCTTCTTTGTCTCTTTTGATTTTTGTTGGTTGAAAGTCTATTTTCTCAGAGACTAGGATTGCAACTCCTGCTTTTTTTTTTTTTCTTCTCTCCATTTGCTTGGTAAATCTTCCTCCATCCCTTTATTTTAAGCCTATGTGTATCCGTGCATGTGAGATGGGTTTCCTGGATACAGCATACCGATGGGTTTTGTCTTTTTCTCTAATTTGCTAGTCTGTGTCTTTTGATTGGGGCATTTAGCCCATTTACATTTAGGGTTAATATTATTATGTGTGAATTTTATCCTGCCATTTTGATGCTAGCTGGTTGTTTTGTCTGTTAGTTGATGAGGTTTCTTCATTGTGTCACTGTTCTTTACCATTCGGTACATTTTTGGAGTGGCTGGTACTGGTTGTTCCTTTCTATGTTTAGTGCTTCTTTCAGGAGCTCTTGTAAAGCAGGCCTGGTGGTGATGAAATCTCTGAGTAGTTGCTTGTTTGTAAAAGATTTTATTTCTCCTTTGCTTATGAAACTTAGTTTGGCTGGATATGAAATCCTAGGTTGAAAGTTCTTCTCTTTAAGGATGTTGAATATTGGCCCCCACTCTCTTCTGGCTTGTAGGGTTTCTGCTGAGAGATCTGCTGTGAGTCTGATGGGCTTCCCTTTGTGGGTAACCTGACCTTTCACTCTGGCTCCCCTTAGCATTTTCTCCTTTATTTCAACCCTGGTGAATCTGACGATTCTGTGCCTGAGGGTTGCTGTTCTTGAGGGATATCTTTGTGGTGTTCTCTGTATTTCCTGCACTTGAATATTGGCCTGCCTTGCTAGGTTGGAAAAGTTTTCCTGGATAGTATCCTGAAGAGTGTTTTCCAGCTTGGATTCATTCTCGCCATCACATTCAGGTACACCTATCAAACATAGATTAGGTTTTTTCACATAATCTCATATTTCTTAGAGGCTTTGTTCATTTCTTTTACTCTTTTCTCTCTAATCTTGCCTTCTTGTTTTATTTCATGAGTTGATATTCAACCTCTGAAATCCTTTCTTCTGCTTGGTCAATTCGGCTATTGAAACATGTGCATGCTTTGCAAAGTTCTCACATTATTTTTCAGCTCCATCAATTATGTTCCTCTCTAAGCTGTTTATTCTCATCAGCATTTCATCAAACCTTTTTTCAACATTCTTAGTTTCTTTGCATTGGGTTAGAACAAGTTCTGTTAGTTCAGAAAAGTTTGTTATTACCCACTTTCTGAAGCCTGTTTCTGTCAATTCATCAGACTTATTCTCCATCCAGCCTTGTTCCCTAGCAAGGCAGGCCAACATTGAAGTCTAGGAAATACAGAGAAAGCCACAAAGATATCCCTCAAGAACAGCAACCCCAAGGCACAGAATCATCAGATTCACTAGGGTTGAAATGAAGGAAAAAAATGCTAAGGGCAGCCAGAGCAAAAGGTCAGGTTACCCACGAAGGGAAACCCATCAGACTCACAGCAGATCTCTCAGCAGAAACCCTACAAGCCAGAAGAGAGTGGGGGGCCAATATTCGACATCCTTAAAGAAAAGAACTTTCAACCTAGGATTTCATATCCAGCCAAACTAAGTTTCATAAGTAAAGGAGAAATTTATAAAAAGATAAATTTAAAAAAAAAAGGAAAAAAAAAAAGCCTGTTTTCTTTATTAGTACAGAGGTGTCCCAGCACTTAGAAGTTATGAGGAAGAAGGATGGCAAATGAAAAAGAAGTGAGGCACTTTGGAGAATAGGAGCTTAAATAAGAGAGAGCAGTGTCAAGTGAGAGCCAATAAAAAGTTATGGATTAGTAATTTTCTTCCACTAAAATATTTACATTCTTACACGGTTGACTTCCCATAATCAGAGATTGAAAGCTTTGACACAGAGTTGGGAATTTGGTCTGTTGTGGATGCTGTTATGTAGGTTTATTCTAAGGGTAGATAGTTTATGGAAACTCTTACATTAAAATTTGAGGTTTGATGTGTCTTTAGTCATTTCAGTGGTGTGAAGACCTTTAGTAACTGCAGCATCGAAGACTTTGCACATTTTATTTCAAAGCAGAAGTCCCAGTGTCTTCACAATCAGCCTCGCTTAGATCCTTTTTACAAACAGCAACCTGTGTGTGGTAACACAATTCTGGAAGCAGGAGAGGAGTGTGACTGTGGGACCGAATAGGTTGGTACTAATTTGGAAGGTTATGCACTAAAATTGCAGCAAAAATTACTTATTAATTCAAGTGTGAAACTGCCATTTTTCTCAATATATCAAGCTAAGTTTTCTGCAAATGATTCAGGAGGACATGTAGGTATTATAACGACTAATGAGTGGACTTACATATATTGGTATAGTAGTCCTTTGCTTTGTAGATCTACGTGGATTTGTGAGAATATACAGGAATTGTGAGAATTTTCTTTTATTTATTCCAGCTTTTTTGAGGTATAGATGACAGTTTTAAACTGTATATATTTGAATTATACAGCTTGATTGAGCATATGTGTACATTTTGAAATATCCACTAAAATTTAGATAACT